AGAACGAAAGAAATTAATGATCACACCCATAGCGAATGGAGGAAGAAGTGTGATAATTAAATTTATCATGAAAAAATAACCATGTGCAGTGAACATTCAGAGTTCCACATATTACTATTTTATAATATTAATAGTAATGTAGCTCGAAAGAACTTATTTGATAGCAGTTTCCGAACTTAATTTTAATTACATATTGTTACGTATATCTATTCTTTAAATTCACAACATGATAAAACAATATATTCACTCTACATTTCTCATGTGACCTTTTTCATTAGCTAAAATTTTAATTGAATGATAACTAGACATATGAGAAACTAAGTGCTTTTTAAGCTCCACCCTAGAAAAAGCTATTACACGATACGCTACTATTAAGAAAAATTTAAACATCGTTGTCCTTTGATATAATTAATCGACGACTACAGTTTTTTGTCATTTCTCAAAAATTGTATTCTAATTGGTATGGCTTATGAGATAATTCACTTAAAATTTTACAACATTTAACTGTAAATTTTATTTTCCATACAGATAAACTTTTCTTTATAGTCTCATCGACATTGTAGTTATATATGTACTATTAATTCGATCTATGTAGAATTCAGATAAACATAGAATCAATGCGAGTGAAGATAAGAAGTTTTTAGAAGAGTCAGATTAGTTTATGCATGAAATAGATGCAATGATCTTTTTTTACTTAGTTATACGTTTCATTGTCACCATCAATAGAGAAATAAGTAGAGAATAGAGTGAATGAGTGACATATAACATGCAATGTACTTAAGTAGTAGCATAAAACACGATACTTTTCTGTTATCTTTATATTGAGAATACTCATTCATTTTCGATTAAATTTTCTATGTACAGTATATTCAATTCAAATTTCAGTCTCAATTCTTTTTAATTTAGTCTGTGTTACATTGCATATTTATTGATTTTAATAGATGAATTGATTATTTAAATATCAGTCTCAAAACTCATACCATTGTCATTTTGTTCAATCTTCAAAGTTGACATGTATAATCGTCGGAATATTATTCGATGGTCACTAGTCATTATATTAATCGTACTAGTTTTTTGGCAAGTATGGTTAATAGTTATAACAGTCTATAATCTTCTACTCGGTATATCTGATAATACATCATTTCATCCCATGAATTTATCACATCCGAAAATACCACCAATTATTCATCAAATATGGAGAACAACGAATCTATCGAGTTATCCAATAAGTGCATCATACGTCAAATGGCAAAAGATGTATCCAGATTATACAGTTCGTTTATGGACAGATGTTGATCTTGTTCAATTAATTTCGTCAAAAGAATATTCTTATTTATTAGAAACATATCGATCATATCCATTCGATATTCAACGTGCTGATTTAGCTCGATTAATTGTTCTTCATTATCAAGGAGGAATCTATGCTGATCTAGATGTATTTCCTCGTAATCGGTCAATTGAAAAGCTTCGATCATCGGGTGCTTCTTTTATCGTTCCTCGATCATCATCGGATTCTACTGTAATCAATCATATTCTTATTAGTGAACAACATTCGAAGATTGTCGATTATCTTCTGCATAATGCTTCACCTATCTTATTTTATCAACGCATCTTTCTCATTCCTTATCTACAAGTCTTTTCCACAGGTTCCGTCTTTTTAACTCGAACTCTTGAACAATGGATGAAATCTTCACTGCATGAAAACAATTTATTGTGGATTCTGTCATCGAAACAAATATCTTCTTATGTTGGTCATGATGCTGGTCGATCTTGGCATTCATTTGATGGATATCTTTTTAACTTTATTAATGATCTACCGGAGGTGATTCAATATACGATTCTTAGTTTTCTTGTTTTGTTTTCTTCTACTTTTTTTGTATTACTTTTCTTTTTTTTAAGATTTCGTAGGCAAAGTCCTGCTGATATTTGGGTAGCAAGAAGGCTATACCTGTACTAAATTCTTTTCTCAACTAGTATGTATCATAACAAAAGACGATTGTATAGATTCATCAATTATATCAGATGTATAATTAGTGTAAGATACTAATAGCAAATGAGAAAGACTTCAATAGTCTGTACCTTAAACTGATTTAATTGTAGAACAAAGACAAGAGAAACAATTTCTTCTTTAGCAACATAAAAAAAGAAAAATAATTCACACTAAAGCAAGATTATTTATTAAAATTTATTATCATAAAACAAAAATGAAAAAATGTTAATCTAGGTCAACATCAAACTTTTGTACTCTATTATTGTCCCAATCGACGATATAAAGATTACCTTGTTGATCGAATGATAAACCTTTGGGAAAATGAAGTTGATTTGATTGTTTTCCTTGACCATTTCCACCAACAACAATACTACCTTCTTCAGATCCTTTGGACCAACGCATTATTCGTTGATTTCTAGAATCAGCTACATAAATATTACCCGAATGATCAACAACTACTCCTCTAGGATAAGATAATTGGTTAGAGCTATTTCCTTTACCATGTCCACCAGCAACGACAATACCTTCTTTTGCATTTTTCATCCATTTCATAACACGATGATTTTTTTCATCTGATACATAAACTGAATGATCTTGATCAACAAATATAGAAGTTGGAAGATATAATTGATGAAGATTATGTCCTTCTCCATGACCACCAGCTACTAGAATACTATTTGTATCACCTATTTTCCATCGTCTTACTTCGTTTTTTACTAAATCAGAAACGTAAAGATCTCCATTATTATCTATTGCTAAACCGTAACAATCAATATCAAATATAATTGTTTGTCCATGTGTAGTATCTTGACGACACCATCGTACTACTCGTCTATTTCTACTATCACAAATGATAAGAGAATCATTCTTTTTATCAACAATTACATCTGCTGGATAATCTAATTGATCAATTCGATTTCCTTGTCCATTTCCACCTGCAACAATTTGACCAATCGTTGAATCGAATTTCAATTCAACAACACGATGATTATTAGAATCAGAAATATAAATCTTATGATCATCATCATCAATATAAATACTTTCTGGCCAATCAAGTTGAGCTAAACCATCACCTTTACCATGTCCACCAATTATAGTACTTCCATTGTTTATCCATTTAGTATTCTTATCAATTTTTACTGGAGAATATGTTTGTCCTATAATGTAAACAAATCATTTAATAATAGACTTTTAATTTAATATTACATATAGATAATACTTACCACTCAAATTTAATTCAGTGAGCATTCTTTTGAACGGCTTTGTATCTTTTGGAAGTGTTGGTTCAAAATAACGGATGTTTTTAGATGGTACTTCTCGTAATTGATTGAGCAAATCTTGATATAATTTTGGATTATAATCAAGAAAAACATCACTATTTATTGTTTTCGAAGGTAGACTACTAGTATTAAATGTAGAATTTGTAATTTGAGTAAATGTTGAACGATGATTTGTAATTATTTCACCACCAACATTAAAAGTTAAAATATTCTTTTCTGTTGATGATAAAAATTGATTAAGACCTAATTTTCGAAGCATTTTTATAAAAGGTTCTACAAGTGAAGAGTCGGAAGGTAAATACAAATGAATTGGATGATTTGTATCTAATACTTGTAATTGATCAAGTAGATGACGAAAAAGAATAGGATTAAAATCAAAAAAGATATTTTTATTTTGATCTAATGATAATTTATGTTCCCATCTACCATTGAATATTGTTGCAAGAGTTGATTTTGAAATACGAGTAAGTGTTTGACGAGTAGTCATTATGATTTCACCACCAACATTGAGTTGAATAACATCATGATCTTTAACAGATTTCTGTAATTGTTTCTTTTCTTCTTCAAAATTTTGTCGATCAATTTTAAATTGTTGTTGACCTTTTTTTAAATCATCTTCTAATTTTCGAATTTCTGAAACAGCTTTTTCATGTTTCAATTGTACAGCTGTTAATTCAATAGAATTTGTCGAAGAAATATTGTAATTGATTAGTATTACAATAAATAAAATGAACTATTTTTAATATAAACATATTCTTTTTTACTTATATTCTTTCAAGATGTTATTCAGTACTTACTATACGTCGTAGAAACCACATATTTTTGTCTATATATAAAAATAAATTATTGTTTTTACTTCTTACAATACACACATATATATATATATATATATATATATTGAAGAGAGATAGGTGTTGTTTTTCCTATCGTTGATAAGCGTTGTCATCAATAGTATCCATTATATATGCTTTTATCTTTGTACGACAAACATTTGAGATAATGAGGTAGAAGGGCAAAATAAAAAATAGAAAGAGAATATACGTAAGGATAACCACAAATAATTAGTATAACCGCAAAATATTTTTTTATATGGTTATACAAACATTGATATAGGTCATCAAAGTGAAATTTGATCTTAGTTTTTAAGTTATTTATATTAATTATTATGTTAAAATAATTTAATTTCCAATAATAGGAGAAATAGAAAATATTACACACACTTTTATTAATTTTATTAAAGTCAACTAATATTTTCTAAAATATTTATGTATTCTTATTTTTCAATATTTTGTTAGAATACTTATGTGCAGTTTTGTTAACTGTTGCGTCTAACTGTATTTATGAACGACAAATTTCTATGTTGGATTTATTTTTATGATGAATAGAGAGAATAATTTCGGACGGATCCAGATTTTTAATAGAGAATTTACTCTTCATGAGGATTCAACATGAGTAGATAATTTGATGTACGAATTACATAGTACACAATTTTAGATTTTAATTAACATTGTCAAATAGCAAGCTTTAGCTGATTTTCAAGTGAATACTTTGAAGAAAATAGCTATGTTGGTGAACAGAACATTTGAATTTTGCTCAAACTATAACTTGTACTGTAATATCAGGTATATTGCTATCTTTTTTTTTTAATGATTTGATGCTTCTTAAAAAGATAAACGGATAGTATATACGTATGTATTTATTAATTGTTTAAATTATTTAATTAAGATAATTTATAAGAGTTTTTGTTGCAAAACAGCCATCATACGAGGTAAAACATCAATAAGCGCTGCATTCCAACATGGCCATGTATGTCCTCCATCGCAATCATAACCGATTGATTGTCCATTTCCATAATCATTGAAATAAACTGGAATTTTTAACGACATCAACGTATCTCGTAAATAATAACTACTATCGCGTAGTAACAATTCCAGATCACCAGTATTACCTGTGTAGAGTGCTACAGATACGTCACGTAATTTTGCAGCATAAGTAATTGGATTTTGAGCAAACCATTCATTAGAGCTAAGCGATTCATTAGGATAACCAAATGGACCTACAAGTGGTTTATCATCAATAGGTACGTCATTAAGAATTTCATTCTGTATATCATTATTAAGTAGATTTAAAACACCAGAAAAACTTGCTGCATAAATAAAATTATTAGAATATAATTGAGCATAACGAATAGCACCGAATCCACCCATTGAAAGACCAGCTATAGCACGACCTTGTTTTTTAGATATTGTTCGTAAATTAAAATCAATCCAAGGTACTAATTGTTCCATATGATATGTACGCCAATTTTGTGGAGTAGAATTGCCAGGTATAATCCAATTTGTGTACCAACCAAAGGAATCACCATTTGGCATAACAGTAATTAATGATACATTACTACAAATGTTTTGAACTTTACCTTGTGTTGTCCAATCTTCAGAACCACCAGGTGAACCATGTAATAAATATAGAACAGGATAGTGACGATTATCATCACTAGTTGTATAATCAGATGGAATAAGTATACGAATTTTCTGTTCGCCACGTACTTCATCTGATGATACAACTATTTCGTAGAGTTGTTCATCTAGCTGAGATACAGAATATACCGTAAGTCCAAAACCAGATATAAAATTAAGTGTATTACTAATTGTGTAATTTACCAAAGTGATGAGAAAGAGCAATAATCCGAAAAATATGCAATGACAATTCATTTTAATTTTTTTTTTATTTCTACCAGCTAAACATATATATATATTGTTACATAGTTATATCGTTCTCTTTCATATATTTCTTTCTTTCTTTCTATCTCGTGTATCTCTTTCTTTCTCTTTCGTACATTATGTACTTATATTCTTGTATGACGTTTCTGGACCTCGATCCATTGTCGGTCTTTCTTCATGAACTTAACAAAGAGAAGAAACTACTCGACGAATTCTTCTCTTTATTCATTTCACATATATATACTCGTGTTTTTTTTTGAATAAAACCACCGATTCCCTTCGTCGTTCACTTCATCTTATTACACTATTTTAACTTGTATATATAGACATTATTCCTAAGTAAATGATAGTGATCGTATAATTCTTTAATCAATTCATATACTGATCCTTTGCATACATCTGATTTTAATATTATATTTTTTTTATTTTCATTTAAATAGTATTATAAATCTCTGATTGACATTTATGTTTGATAAATTGATAGGATGGGTTTTAAATATATAAAAGAATATCTATGTTGTAGTCAAAATTTAAATACTTTTTTCATAGGTAAAAAACAGTAAAATGTTTGCGTGTTAGTCGATTTCTCTTTCCTTCCTTTTTCTGTTAACTAAAGTTATTTTCACAACTAAGAAAATTAGATCAGAACAAAGAACAGCTGTTATATACGATGAATGATTAATCGAGTAAGACTAAGTAAAGAGAAAGAAAATTCTAGTACGGAGTTGTTGTCAAAATAAATTAGTATATAGATAGTTACACATCGTAAAAAACTAAAGAAGTTGGATATAACGATCGTTCAAGTTAATGATAATGAGAAAATGTTTCCTGCTCTACTAAATGTCATTCACAAAAAGGGTAGATGCTTCAACATGGACTAAATAAAATTAAAACAAAACTGTGCACACTTTATTCGTTTGTATTTTTTTGCATTCTTCGATCTATGAAAAAAATATTTGAATTAATTCAAGTATAAGTTGCTTTAGTCTGTCCAGTACAAGTATTGTAAAACCAAAATTAATCTTTAACCAAGGAAAAAATATTTAAAATTATATTCACTATTTTTCGTTTTTGATTTATATAACGAAATTTTTATTAGAAATCAATAAGTACAATTGATATCAATAATATATTTGTTTTTTTTTCAAACGACAACATAATACTTTTTTCATTGCTCTTAACCATTGATTTCTAAATACATTTGATGAACACATGTAAACCAAAAAACTTGTATAATTACTCCAAAAGAGTAAATGAACAATTTCATTAACTAAATTTTCTTTTGCTTCATCCATCAATGATTTCGATTTTTTTAAAGTGAAAATCCAATAACAACTAAATATAGAATATGGAATAGAAGTAAAAAGTGATTTAATTGATTGAAATATAAGCATCCATGTTAATTGTTTATTAATTCGTCGAACACGAATTGATTTTGTTTGTGATCTTTGATGAAGATTACGTCCATTACAATATGTAAGAAAACCAAAAATCGCCATAGTAACTGGTGGAATAAATCCATTAAATAAACAAACATATATTATTTGTATTATAACACCATATGAATATCGACATGAAATCGAACAAATTAATTGTTCATTATATGATAAATGACGACCATATTGTGAACAGAATATAATTGGAATGGATGCAATTACCCAAAAAAATATTATGGTAATTATACATCGAATAATGATTGTACGATTACTAAATTTCCATCGTGAACTCTGTCTTGAACTCATCATATATCGATTTATAAACGCTAATATTGTAAGTGAAGCTGAGATAATAGTTAATACATATACAAGATAATTTTTTATCTTACAGACTATTATTGATCTATTAGACCAGTGATAATGAAAACCATAATGAAGAATATTTGATAACAAACCAATATTTAAATGAATAAAATCACAGAATGAAGCTATCCATAGATAAAGTGAACAAGCTCGACGTTGAAATGATTGTTGTAAAAAAGTTAACATATTCATTATAGTACCACAAAGACATAGAACATATAACGAACTACCTACATATTGAGTAAGATATTGCGAAATAAAATCATATTTCTGAGTATTATTATAATCTGTTTCATTTGACATTCTATGACAAAATAAATGAAAATATGATTAATTAAATTTTACAACTGAACGTTGAATCTATTATGATAAGGATTTTTTTCTCTACCATCTTCTCATTATTTCAGAAAGAGAAAAAAAAATGTAAGAGATATGATAGATAATTTAAAAGAATAATTTTTGAAATATTCTAACCAAAAACAATTATAGAACTTTTCCTTCAATGAATCGTTTTACTACTTACTTATTATGAAAAGGAAAGAAAAATGAGTATAGAATGTGACTATAGTTTTTAAAAATTCTTTTCTTTTATGTTGATTCTGATCCTATATGTCTGCTTAGTAAGCATATATAATTATTGGGGAAAAAGTCAGGCTTTGAGTTTCCTAGATAAGTATTAATTTATAATGTTATTACTATTCTTCAAATAACTTTATTTATAGCTGGTAATAATAAAGTCTCGTCGAGTTCATTTAACTTGACATATTTAAAAAAGCTGTAAAATTTATTATCCTAAATATATTATTGAAAAAAAAAACTATTTGACAGATGTTTAGAAAAGATGATTACTTTATTTGACGATTATAATGGTAAAAAACATTAGTATCCTTTTTTTACATAAAATGAAAGACGAGATATAATTTTTGAACCTATTATTAGTTACTACGAACTTGATGTGATAAAGATAATACGTTGTTCCATGAGAAAAAAAAGTCTCTTTAATAATGTTCTCGTGAACTTATAATAAAACGAGATTGTTCTCTATTTTCTTGAATTTACGTGAAAATATTACTACAACGGAAATCATCTATGACAAGCAACTCAAGATATTCTCAATGAAAATGTTGGATCAGTACAAAATGATGCTATTTATATATTTTTTCTCAAAATATATGTTAATTAAATGACCTTATAATTCATAGCGTCAACCATATGTAATGCAACTGAAGATCATGAGGGCATTTAAAGTCATAAATAGTACATTTTTTTATGAACTATGCCATTGTATTAAACTAATTCAAAAAAAAATAATATTAAAGGATATGTAATTTACTTTTTATTTCAATAGTTCTATCAAAAACAAGATTTATTTCAAAGGTTGTAATAATAAAAAATATGCTATTATATATAGTAAAAATGGATGAGACAGATCAAGAATATAATTCTTTTGTTAAGGTGTTTGCTATATTGGGATGTGGTGCTATATCATGGCTGAATAAACTCAGTCACTTCTTTTTTTATATATAATTACAATAATGTGCCATAGGAAACCCATGCTGTTGAATGCATTAATAAAAACGTTCATTTTATAAGTGCTAATATTTCATTATGAGAACCATAAGTTATTCAGTAAAATAACAAGAAAAAAATTTGCACTCTTCTATGTATTTTGATAACTTTTGTTAGGTTTAATATATAAATAAATTGTATGTATATCAATATTCAGAATTCTTGATTGATTTATTGAAATAAGTAGAACTCTATTACAATGAATTCATTATTATCCAGATATACACCTAATTTTCAGTGACTTTCGATAACTTCGAAAGTAAATATCTTTCGATTACAAATTACTTTTTATCTTACTCATGATGAAGACGAAGAAAAATAAACTGGTTAATACATCTCGAGCACCTTTTTTACTAAAACAATATCATTTATTTGTTCAATTTGATTCGAATTCAATTAATAGACTTAATTAAGTTTTTTCGTATATTGATACTATAAGAAAATTAATAACTTAAAATTTAAAATCCATTTTAATATTATTTGTAGGTGATATCTTCTATTACATGATAGATTTAATTTTCGATGAACTCACCGATAAATTTATCTATCAACTTGCTATTATGATAGAATCAACATATTGTCTATCATATGTTTTACGAATAAAGAATGTATAATATATTTGATCATTCATTATTTGAAATTCATATATGAACTAATATATAAGTATAAGTTTTCCTGATAAGAAAAAGTATAGTTGATTGACGAAATAAAATAAAAAGATTTAAATGAGTTATACATTTTATAATATTATACAACTCATTTATTCATTGTTCATATTAAATATGTCTTCTCGTTTGGTATTTTTCTAATTATTCTAATCATGTATATTCTGTGCGATTAGATCTTATTGTGCAAATAATCATAGTTCTGAGAGTGAATATCAGTATAGATGCTTTTTTTATCTCTTATCTATACTCACAAATTTAATAAGAAAACTGTAAACAACCATGCGTAATTTTATTTATATATATTACAAGGCCGTCAAAAATTACTATATATTTGTTTTTCTTACTGCATCGCGACAGAACATGATCGTGTGACATGTGTGATAATCTTTGCTGAGTCATACGCAATGCAGAATGTAATTGCACAATATATGCACGATAATATATATTTCTTTTCATTCATCACAAAGCATGTTGTTTCTCTTTTTTTCTTTCATTCATGGCTGCTTCAACGTTGTCCGTCGTTACTGATAAACATAATTTTGTACCTATTAATCTAGGTATATTGTACGAGTATCAATACAAATGGTTTACAATTCATATGATCGATGAAGAAACTTTACAATTACTTGCTTCTGATTGTCGTAATCGCCAATCATTTCCAATTGAGAAATATCCTTGTCAAGTCTATTTAGTAGACTTTGAATCAACGAATCGTATTCGTGTTTGGTTAAATCAAGATGAAGTAGATGTAGAAAAATGTTCTGATTATATGGATGATAAGTATAGTTTCGGTCGAATGAAATCATGTTGGGTTTGCAAATGGATTGATTGGGATGACAATTGGTTAATTGATACAGAAGAAATATTAGATGAAACAGCAATTAATAAACCTGATTTTTATCGATTAGATGGTGATAACGATGTAGAATTTGGTGATGGTGGTTCAGCTTCTCTTGTTTATCCAGTATGGATTCATGAACAATTACCAATTAGTGAAAAACGTCGAAAACGACTTCTTAACGTTTTGTATCAACTTAATGAAGAACGACAAGATTTTCATCCAAGTCCATCACCAGTTGAAGATATTATTGATCCAGATCTACTTCCATATCGACCAGTATCAATATTTGATCAAAATCGATGGATTGAACGACGAAAAAGACAACTTAACAATACGGAACATATACAACGTCGTTTCGTACGAGATTTACGAGAGGGAGCGTATAATGATTTATCCGAGCACGAGAAATTACGTGATACATATCAGTGGGTGCCATCAGAATTTATTATTGATAAAGATGGTAAAGTCGATATTCGAACACCGATTATTCATTTACCTGTATTACCTGAATATCGACAAAGTTATGGTGATATTGCAAAAATCTTTCATTCAATGTTACCAATGTTTGAAAAACTAAAATTAATTAATCTTAAATCAAATGTATCACAAAAATTACAAGTAATTATCAAAGCACAAAGTTATAATTTAAAAGCAGGTAAGAAAACAAAAAAAAAGTATTTTTTTTATAAAGGTTTTGTTTTTGTAGGAATGAAATATTCTGGTCGATGGCATACAGAAGGTCAAACAGAAAATATCGTTGCTGTAGGTGTTTACTATTTAGATATTGATGAAGAACTTGAAGGTGGTGCGTTAAAATTTCGTCCAAAATATTCACCTCAGTCATCATATGCTGAGTTGGAGACTGATCATTGTATATCATCTATAAAAACAGGTATGGCAGTTGTATTTTCAAATTCAATTCCACATCGTTTTCAACAAATTCGAAATTTAACCACTCAAGAAGGTCGTCGTCGAACATTTTTGAATTTTTTTATTGTTGATCCCGAGCAACCAATACATTTACAATCCAATGAAATTATTTATGCTCCAAAAAATTTTATTATTCAAATACTTCAAAAATGGCGTGAAATAGGATTACCTGATATTGTTATAGATAATATTTTAAAAATGTTAAATTTATCATCAGTATGGGAAACAAAAGATTTAGCAAAAGAGTTTCGAGCTCGTGTTCGACGCGCAATGTTAGATGAAAAAACAGGATGGGGTTGGATTTGTTGGGGAAATTGTGGAACAACAGAATTTGTACGATCTTTAACAGTATGGCCACCAAGGGAAAGAGATGAAGCACTAAATCAACTGCATCATACAGAATCTGATTGATTTGAACTTTAAATAAAAATGTACTCTATAATTGTACTTCAAGTTATATATGATGATTTTTTTCGATCTATTTTAGAAAATAGAATGATAATCACTGATAGATAAATGAGAGATAGAGAGAAAAAGTATAATCATCTAGTTGTTAATTTTTATAGACATCATAACACCTTCTTACTCTCTTATACTTAGTTTTATACTTCTACGATTGTTCTGATTTTGCGAACATACATAACTTTAATGTACATTTATTGTAATTCATATTATCTTATTTTTACTGCACTTATTGTTTTTTTAATGATGCCGTAATTAAGCTAAGATCTTGAAGTTTAAAATAAAAAAATATAATACCAACAGATGTCGTTAGGATTTGATATACTTCGTATTTTTTTCGATTTAAGAATTCATAACAGATGTGAACTGTAATATTTTATTTATAGTTTCTAAATTGAACAAATATAGATAACTTTATGATAACTTTTTTACAAGTATAAAGTCGTACATTCTTTAACAATGGCAGAATGAACTAATGAAAAAACGTTTTATTTTTCTAACTATGTCTATTGCTCTGGACTTTACTTTCGCTCAAGAAATATTATCTCAAGATATCTTAACTAGAATCTGATACGACAAATTGCTTGAAGGTGTGTTTTAAACAACTTAAACCGATTGTTTCTATTTGAATTGTTTTTCACATATATTAATTAATAGGATCTGTCAAATCTCTCCAAAAAAATCTACGATATATGATTGTCTTCTTGCTCATTTCATTTTTTAACATTATTAGTTTGTTAATACAAATGGGTGAATAAATCTACTTCTTTCAAAGATAGTTTTTAGAAAATAGTGTCATTCATACTGTTGACAATAAAATATTTCTGATGAAA